TATAAAATACAGTATGTAAGCAGGCTAGTAAGTACACATAGACAACAAGGTCAATATGCATGTTATATTATGTCAGTTTAATAATTTAGCAAATATTTTGTTTTATTAAATATAAAAGTATATAATCCACTGTCAACATTCATTAATATAAGCAAGATTTTCAAGAAAACTGTCATTTCCAACTTCATTTGATGCAATTGTTGTCTCTGTCTCATCAAACTGGGATACATTGCTGTCCCAAGGATCTTGGGCACTTCAATCATCTCTCAGCTCCTCCCAATCCATATCAATGTCAGTATGACTTTCATTCAATACTGACATATATTCATCAACTGTGATGTCACCGAACACTTGAGCAACTGTGTTCAACACACCGACTGCATGTTGTCTTCGCCAAATTTCAACATTTTGCAACACATCTTCCACTGTAAATAGTCTATGACATGTCTGTAGAATTTGAAGAATTTGCAGCCAACCAAATTCAAGGAAAACATTTTGTATACCAACAGTTGATGTTATTCCAGCTATATCCTTCTCTATCATTTCTTTCTTGAATGTCAGCAGCAGTTTCTTTACTTGGCCTTGTCAGTTGAATTTACTGCTCTCACTGCCTGTGACACTGGGGCATTACTGGTGTCTGAGGCCTTGTCCACACTAATGCGTTTTGATATGTCTCGTTTTTCGCTTGTTCAAAAACGCATCGATTGCTTTGCGTCCACACTAGCGTTTTTGTAGCGTTGTTACCCGTCCACACTAAAACGTATGAAAACGATGACACGCAGTGTTTCGCTCATATTGCGATGAGGGTTACATGAAGTCTTCCGTTTGACAAAACGCGCCAGTGATGTTTTATTTTCCCGCCCTCCCGCAAGATGGTAAAACATGGCTGCCTCACAGGCTGCATCTACCTCTTCGACAAAAAGCACATCTAAGTCTTCTTCGTCAAAAAGCAAGAAAAAGTCTTCAACTGCCAAGCAACAAGAACCCTTCATCTGGACAGACAGCGAGGTTGAATTGTTACTCAGAGTTACGAATGACTATAAAGTCGCGAAATTGTTTGAAGGGGTTGATTGGGAGTCTATTCAAAATAAATACGTCGACATACTACAACGATTCCAGCAAGACTACCTCAAAACAGGTGACACGTCGGGCGATTCTTCTAATAAGGACTTTCCTCACAAGCCTAGTGACATTACAAAGATTATTTTATTGACTTAAGGCAATCAGAGCCAAGTATCATCAGTCAGTAGATAGTGGGAGAAGGAGTGGGCATGGCCGTGTGGTGTGGCTTTACTTCAACATGTGCGCATCTATATGGGGCGGATCGCCAGCGACAACATCTATGCCTTCAGGAATTGAATCATCAGATGTTTCGTCTTTAGACAGTTCGTCTACATCAGTTGATGCAACACCGATGACCCTATGGATGGTGAATTATTCAACACAGACAGCCCAGCAGGAGATGATGGCAATGAAAGTGAAGCTACCACACCAACAAACAAGACTAGTAGCAACACAAATAGAATACTGCATGAAAGAAGAGCATTGCTTAATGAGAAGTTGCAAACTCACAAGCAAGAAAAATTAAAAAGGAAACTTTCACTTGATAGCCAGTTTCTAAAATGTGCTCAAGAAGACTTGCAATTCAAAAAGCAAGTATTAGACAAGATGGACCATATGGAGAAGGGTTACTCTGACAACATGAAGTCACTCTCTTCTAATGCTGAGAAACTCACCAATTCTATTTCTGATTTTTTTTCTGGATACAAGAGTGGTTTTTCTGGAAACCCACAGCCATACATGTCTCCTATAAACCCACAGTACCATCACCATCAACAAATTCCAATTGGATACTCTAACACCCCCCACCTGATGAACACATCAAGTCAAAGCAATACAAACTATACACAGTTTGAGTTCATAGATAATGATCATGGCCATGGGCAACGTTGAACTTGTTAGATTACCTTTGAGTAACTTTATGAATCAAAGGAAGGTTAATATTGTTTCTTGATATTGATGATGTTGTTTCCACTGTTTCTTGATATTATTTTGATTGTTGAATAAGCGGTGTGATTTCATTGTTAGTTATATACTTTTTAGAGACACAATGAACAATTTCACATAAAAGCTTTTATTATATACTTGTTTACCACATTTTTATGTGAGGTACATACCATACTGTGTAGCTATATTACTTAATATTTATCTATTACTTATCTATATTTATCTATTTATCCTTTACTAGCAGACAATTTCATGAGGTATAGAGTAAAACAAACTCTGAATAATATCATCGTATACAAACTCAAGATTCACGTTATTAAAAAAAGAAAGATACAGAATCCTGTATCTTACTTTTTTGAATAACTTAATTAATTTGAAGATATGGTTGATACAAGATGATATTATTTGGAGTTTATTTTACTCTATATTACTTCCCTATATTACTTAATATGCATTAGATACTTGTAGATGTTGTGTTATGTACAAGACAAATGTTATTTAAGGTTTACTAACAACAACAAAAGTGGGTTAATAATAATTGTCTGACATGCCCACTGGTCATTAAAAAATATATAAACAAGAAGAGTGGCACTGTCTAAAATTAACTCTTTAGAGTCAACTTATGTCCAAGCCAAGTAACTCAGTTCATGGATCTAAATATTCTGTCAGGACTCTCCTGACACGTTTCCCTTCAGTTTCATTGCAGTCACCTCTGTAACCACTTGGCATGCCTGGCTGAACATCTTTCTCATATGCAATTGCAGCAGCAACCTGATCTTGTGAAATCATTTCATTGTAACATTCACAGTAGTTGTGCAAAACAAAACAGGCATAGATAACATTGGGGACCTCTTCTAAGTTTATGTCCATAGGTCTTCGCAATATACCAAATCTTGCTTTCAGGCGACCAAATGAGCATTCAATCACCATCCTTGCTCTGCATAATGACAGCCCAAAGTATTGTTCCTGTGCAGTTGTCCCACCTGAAGAATATTCCTTCATTACATAAGGTAGCAGTGGGTAGGCAGGATCACCAATAAGAAAAACTGGAATAGATTCTTCCCCTTCAACAATTTCTCTTGGCATTGCAGGAATTGTTCCATTTTTCAAGTGTGAGTTTATAGACGAATTTGCAAAAACCCTGGCATCGTGTACGCTGCCTGGCCATTTGATATTGACATCTAAAAATTCGTATTTGTAGTTGCAGACTGCTTGGACATTTAAACTGTACCTTTGTTTTTTGTTTATGAATTCAGTTGAGTTTGACGGTTGTTTGATTTTAATATGGTTGCCATCAATTGCCCCAAGGCACTGTGGAATAACGTGGGCCTTCTGAAATTCTGTGATTAACTCCTTCACTTCTGCTTCAGTGAAAGGAGGCTTTATATAGACGGGTCCCAAATACTTAGTAATTGCAGTAGAAACTTCTCTAACAATCTTTGACACAACTTGTCTTGAGAGACCAAATGCATTGGCAGTTTTTCTCATTCGACCTTCGTCGCTCAAATAGTACAAGGTACATGCTACTTTCTTCATCACGCCTACAGGCTGTCTCATTCGCGTGGATTTGCCTTCAATATACGGTCTGAGTTCCTCACTGAGCTTTACTAAGGAAGACCGAGACATCCGGAAATTCTCTTTCCATTCTTCTGGTAGCATTGAGTTGGACTCAAAGTTATCCCACCAGGCGCTGGTTCGTCCTGGCCGAACCCAAAATCTTCGCGGCCTTCTCTTTTTTTGTGTACGGCGCCGAAACCCGACACATGTTGAAGAAAAGTGGAGTAACGCCTTCAAAAAACTCATTCGTCGTGAATGGGTAAACATGAGATGGTTAATTAATAACAGATTCAGCTGCAAACATGCAACTAAGTTGCCTAGCAATAGTATGTTTGGATCCGCCATGTTTGATTTTTGGGGAAATATTACATATTGTTTTTATGACTCCGTTTTCGTAGCGTTTTTGACCGTCCACATTAAAACGATACGTATGCATTTTCATTTGGCTCCACTTTCAACAGCGTTTTCAAATCAATGCGTTTTTTATGAAAACGCTCATCGTTTTCGGTCGTTTTAGTGTGGACGGAAGGCCAAAACGCATTAAAATGTCTGGGGCCTGAGAGCTCTACACAACTAGCAATAAGGGGGATTGGGCCACACTTGACATCTCCACATTTGCAATCAGCAGCACAAATGTCACAACACAGTCTGCGAGCAGAATTCACAAATTCTGCAAAATATCCAAAAAAACGAAAATTTTACATTGGGGACATTTTTTTTATACACCATGTATTTATCCAAGGTGATGGAGGATGCAGGTAGTGAACAAATTAATTTTCTTATGATTTTCTAGGAAACAAAAATATATATTATATATATATATATATATTGCACTCTGCACCTCATTAATGAATGAAGATTCATTTAAAAATGACAACAGGAAACACCATTGTCTCCACATGTTACCACATAAGTTACCTCCTCGATATTTCCATGACTCTTGGTTGGTTCAACTTCTTGGTTGGAGTAGCATTATCACAAAGGTGTGCTCGATCTTGATCTGAATTTATGATTCTTCTTGAAAACGTTCAGAGCATATCCTACTGTTCTTTTATGGTTCAAAGGATGCCCTGGATTTTTTGACAGTCCATTTTTGCTGAGTTTCTGTCTTGATGAGACTTGGGAATCTGTCATCCCAATTGTCATATAATGCATTTTACTTTGTAAATATAGCTTCATCGTCATGTATGAAAGGTAACACAAATATTCTTTCTCTTGAATTAGACCTGCCCATAGGCATGGTGTTTTAATTGCTGCCGTTAGGCAGCACACCTAATCTTGACAACTGATTTTTACGAAATTACTCGCGCCAGTTCCCTGACCCGAGCTATATGAATCCAACTTGAATCTGGATTTTAGAGAAATTTGGATTTCTGTCGCTCGGTAACTATTCGTAAGTCGTCGTCGAGGGCTCGGTTTATCCAAGATGGCGGATATTGAAGTGTTGGTAAAGTTCAAAAAGGCTCAAAGATATCAGATTATTCGTTATTCAGATATTTCAAGCTATTATATACGCAAGAATCTATCCAAAAAATACGAGGAAATAATGCATGTAGCAATGGATGCTGTTAAATATAAACATACTAACGAAGCTGAAGTGAATAACTGAATGTTAATTTACTTTCATTATATCATTGTGGGAATTGACAATTTTAAAATAATTCAACAATTCATTGTACTTGCACTAGCCTGCAAAACGGTTAAATCTCAATATATACCGTACACCAAAAATGCCAATGTTCCTCTCCATTGTCATTAATTGTACTACGATGGGATTTAAACAAGATAACAATTTAAAACAATACAACACGCCTGGGCAGTTGACAACGAAATGAAGGAACTGTTGCTTTTGAAGTGGGGGTAGTGGTGCCTCATACCCAAGCACATAAGAGGAGAAATTGCACCAAACTACTATATAGAGATCAATGGGTAAGCTGAGGGAGTGCTCAGATTGCTTCTGATCCATTCAAAGATGGCATTTGTATAACAAGACAACAATTAACAATGTAATCAACAAATCACATTTTACAATATAATAAACTGATAACCCAATATGTGATGTGCCCAATGATAAGCCTATAAACTGAACTAATATGAATGTCAAAAAGTCAATACCAAGATGCCATTTAAACAGGCAGCTCTAACAGCAACTCTGAAATTAATTACAAGAACCCCCAAAAACCCAAACTTGAACAACTCATGCAACCGTGCAAGTCTATGAGTACGACTGATAAAAAGTTAATGTAAATTGGAACATGTGAACAATGCTGAACATTCTAAATAAAACTCAACATTCTTTGGAAACACTAAAATCTAACAACTTGCCCGAAATGTTATAAGTGACATTTAAAGTGTCAAGTTGCAACATGGCCAGTAGAATATCATCTTCTTCACTTTCAGTGGTTGTCTTATTATCATTCACCTCCAGCAGCTTCACAAGTTCATGGTGAAACACAGATAAATAGAATTTATCTTTTGTTTTTTCATCTACAACAAACAACTTGATAAACCATTGAATATTTGATGTAGAGAGCTTCTGAATCAGCTTACACGACTGACATTTGACAATTTGGGTTGGATTTTCCATTTTCTTCTTGCACGAACTGCAAATGAAATACTTCGAGACAGCTTTAACGCCAATTACAGATACACGAGCTGTCTTGGTTGTTAGATCAGACAATGACAACTCGATTTCTGCTAGGGGAGATGTGAATGGAGTGGACTGTGTAACAGAAAACTCTTGCTTTGCAGAGTTAACAATTTTTTCTTTGGTATAGCCATCCTCTCTAACTCTTAGATTTGTAAATGTGTATACTTGGTCAAGTTCGATAGAATTAACCCATTCAGCCCAAAATACAGCTTTAATTGAGCCACTTGTATCCACCAAAATAGCCTCAACTTTCTTTAAAGGGCCACCTGCTGTTGCCACAACCTTGATGCCACCAAGTTTAGCCACACTTGCTTTAACAGTGATCAATTCTCCTTGAGGAATTGTGTTAATATCCTTGATCAACACACTGCTCTTTTCCAGATCTTGGATTTGAAAATCCAAAACCCCAGGATTTTCAATGTTTGTTGATTTCTTTATAACATAGTTGTTGTACTGTGTGTTATAGTCAAAGTTTTTCATCTTAATGGGGCTCTTACTTGCCATTGCTACTTTCAATGGGGTAACCTTTTCTGGCGAGAAACATATTGCTTTCTCCATTGATGACTTTGTTTGAAGCTGGCAGGTGACATAGTTGACTTTACCAGACTTTTGCACTGGCTTAACATTGTGTACATAACACAGCAGCTCGTCGCCTAAACACAATTGATCAATAAAAATAAAGAAATATTAGGAACATTTTAAGGCACTTGCGCATTCAGGTACTAATCCTTCCACAATACTCTGGGTATTAAATTTTAGGAAATCTGAGCCACCCTTACACTAAACCATAAATAGCCCATGTTGTATCCAAAAAATATTTTCTTGGGGTTTTATATGTTGACTAATAAGATATGCCAGTAGCAAACGTTCATAGTTGGCGAGATTTGAGTGAGACAACACAACCAATCTGCATTGCAGGCTATTTGCCAAAGGCAGAGGGTCTATAATAATGAATAATAAAGTTATTTAAATACCGTTCTGAGGTGTTTTCAACTGTTCAGCCATTGATATTGAATGTGTAGATAACCACTACCCTACATAATAAGACACACACATATATGTATATATATATATATATATATATATATATATATATATATATATATATATATATATATATATATATATATATATATATATATATATATTTACACATTACATATGCATATTACAAGGCTTTGAAGGCCTTGCGGTATTTATTATTTAATTTAAACAAGGGGCAAATCAAATAGCAAGCTAGTTGGCTTATATAGTAGAAGAAAGGCTTGGCCAATTTTTTTTTATTATTCCTCTTTTTTGAAGTGTTTCATCTTTAGTACTTTTAACAATTCTTTCAAAAGTACAGAGTTGGGTAATACATACTTTTGCTAAGGATTTTTGCAGTAATAAATCCATCATTTGACGATTCCAGTTGGCCGACCGACCACATGGCGTTTTTAACGTGGAGGAAACTAATAGACCATATTATACTTTTTAATACTTTTTAAAAATACCCGTTTTCACTTTTCAAGTGCCGATGATACCTATTGTCTCAGCTACGATATATAAACATGGATATATGAATTAAACATTCTTATCATACGTCACCTTTCTGTTGATCAGTGATGATTATAAATTGTTCCTGCGTCGAGATGCACATCACCAAAGAATGAGAGGAAACTCAAAACAATGTGCTCAGCGATCTAGCAAATATAAGCTGACCACGTGCACAATTCAGGCTATGATTCAGCCAATCAGAATTAAAAATTATACCTACTGTCAATCTGTCAGCTTCCGCCAACCCTAGGAACTTCTAGGAGCTATAGGGTAATTAGGATTTTATACAGCAAACTGTGGATAATATTGGATAATATCTGACCTGCAAAACATTAGAGCGACGTTCTCTTCAAGTGTAATTGAAGTTTAAAGTATTTTATTGGGTAAGTTTATGGTTTAGTTAATAAATCAATAAAAAACCATGTCAGTTTTCAGATATGGAAATATTCATCAAGGACATGAAAGTTTTAGTAGTTTATCACGCGGTAGGCAGTGCTCTTTTATGAGTTTATCGGCACTTTTAAACGTACAGTCTGTTCCACTACTGGAGTGGAATTCCACAATTATCGACAAGATCTTACTGCAAGGAGATATCATGTATTTGAAAGCCATCCAAAATGGTCAAATTCCACAACAGGAGTATCCATCATTAGATGACATGCCAAATATTGTTCACTATTATTCAGTCACAAACAATTTATTTGGGCCCATTGTGGCACAAACTATAACTCATGAGCCCATTGAGGCACAACATATTAATCTACCCATTGTGGTAGAGCCCATTGAGGCACAGAATGAAAGTCAGTCATGGTATATAAACTATGGAAAAGAGTGGCAAGGACTCATAATAAATGAGCAGGAAGTTGAGGCTCCGTATGTTAGCCTTGATGTTGCTTTGATGAATACTTTTGCAAATGACAAGTATGCTATTATAATTTTAGAAGGCTATATGATGGCCTTGATACATAATGTAGATTCTGCATTCTATGTATTTGACCCACATTCTAGAAATTCATATGGCATGCCATGCAACAATGGCACTGCTGTTCTCATAAAATGTGATACGCTCTGTGAATTAGAACAACATTTCCATCTACTGTCAAGGGAACTAAATACTAATGTTTTTGAAATTGTTCCAATTCAGTTGTTATTGAGTACTGGCAGTTGTGATCCAGTGACAAGTAATAATACAAACAAACAAACCAAACTAAGAAATGATAGAGAATATCATAGATTAAAACGTTTAGAAGAATCTGAAAATGCCAGACAAACTAGAATGAAAAATGATCGAGTATATCAAAAAAGGAAGCTGGCATTAGAAACTGAATGTCAAAAACAACTTCGTCTAGAAAATGCTAGAAAGTATAAGAAAAGAAAACAAGTAGAGCAATTACTAAATGCCAATAAGCCCAAACATGTGAGTCAACATGAATATTTAAAAGAATTTGATATTTTTAAACATGGTGGTATCCATGAACAAAGTTGGGCAAAACAAAACATTGCTAAATTTCATAAATCTAATGATTATTTTATCCATAAGTGCACAGTTTGCAAAGAGGCATGGCCATTAAAGTCCAAACCAAAGTCACCTACAGAATACATCTGCTCAAGATGTTCTAGGGATAAAAAATCTCCCAAGAAGTTTTCTTCTCAAAATTCAATGATTCCATCTTCTGTTCCAGAAGAGTTAAATGATTTGACTCAAGTTGAGGAAATGTTAATTGCTCGTGCCTCCCAATCATGAGAGTTTATATTAACCTGGTGGTCAACGAGGTTATTCAGGGCACTGTATTAACTTGCCACAAAATGTGACTGAACTTGCATCATCTTTGCCAAGATACCCCAAAGACTTGGCTGTGATTATTGTCAAGGTAAAAGGTAGAGACAACACCTTCAAAGATGTAACAGTGCGAAAACAAAAAGTGCACAATGCCTTAATTTGGCTTATAAACAATAATCCACATTATTCTGAGTTATTAATTAATGAAGATGCATTAAAATCATTACCTGAAAATGATGTGCCACCAGATCTCATGACTGTTGAGACTAATGATGATATGGTTCAGATGACAATGGTTCACCTGATTCTGGTCCTCCCACTGATAATCCCTCAGAGGATGTTGTTTATAATGACTCTACTGAAATGAGTAGTTTTCTACCAGTTGGTGAACAACAACAACAGGAAATTGATGCTGTTAGAAATCAGCTTTCTGAAGATGAGCCAATGCAATGGCCCTCGGTTGAAAATGACCATTTAATGAGTATCTGGTCACATCTGGCCACAATGGCTTTTCCAACATTATTTCCTGATGGAAAAGGTGATCCTACTAATCAAGCGCTATTAAGAGATGTTCCTCTTCAGGAACGAATAAAGCATCTTTTGAAATTTGCTGAAATTATTGATGGTAAATGGGTCTACCGTTTTGCCAACCACCCCAGATTTTCTTATTGGGCTTTTAATATGATTAAACGAAAACAAATCTTACAGCAAAGTGGGATATTCCTAAAACAAAATCCGGGTGAAGCACATCTCACCATTGATGAACTGCGAGAAATGGCCGCCAGTAACAATGCTAACATCTTTATGTCTAAGATTTCTAGATATATTGGCAATATTGCTGGCACTAATGCTTACTGGAATAGAGTAAGAGAGGAACTTAAGGCTATTATAACTAGTGTTGGAGCACCAACGTTATTCTTTACCTTCTCCTCTGCAGATATGCATTGGCCTGAACTACATGCTCTATTTAAAGCTGGTGATGATTGTGAAACTGGTACTTCTACCAGTGAGGTCAGACGACAAAATGTAATTAACAATCCCCATCTGGTGGATTGGTTTTTCACTCAAAGATTAGAAAGCTTTGTTAAACACTGGCTTTATGATACACTTGGTGCAAAATGGCACTGGTTTAGGTATGAATACCAAGGTAGAGGTAGTATCCATTGTCATGGTACTGCTAAATTAAACAATGATCCTGGTTTATGTCAACTTACTCAGACTGCTTTGAAAGGTTTCTTAGCTCAAAAATTTAAAGATGAAAATGAGTTTTCTGGTACAACAGAAATAGACCAGGATATTGAAGCTGGCCAAAAGGCGGCTGAAACAGTATGTCAGTATGCTGATTGGTTGTTATCAACTGTTAATCCAAATCCACCAGATGAGGATATGTGGATAAGACCTGAAACTCATCCATGTCAAAGGAGACATAGTGACATTCCAGAACATGACAAACAGTCAGATTATGATGATCTGTTAAACATGGTTCAACGACATACTCGTTGTAGCACTAGCTATTGTCTAAGAAAAAAGTCAAATGAAACAGAGTTGAAATGTAGATTTCATTTCCCATTTGATCATTGTCCTCAGACAAAACTAGAATTTGAAAAAATTAACACATCAGGTGATAACGAACATTATAGAGCAAAAATTTTGACTAAACGAAATGATTCTAGGTTAAATAACCACCAACATCTTCAACTCCAAGGATGGAGAGCGAATTGTGATATTCAAGTTGTTATTGATCACTATGCTTGTGTTGAATATCTCACAAAATATGCAGCTAAAGGTGAACCAAGGTCACCTTTGTTAAAACAGGCATTTAACTCCATTTTGAAAAATGTTGACAGTAATACTGACCCTCGCAAAACTATTAAGAAGGTTGTTATGAAATCTCTTGGTGAAAGAGACTATGCAGCTCAGGAAACAATGCACCATTTGCTATCTTTGAAACTACATAGTTCAACATTTAAAGTGATGTCAGTAAATCTAAATGGTTCGCGTAGAGTGCGTAATACAGCAAATATTGAAGAGGCTGAATCATGTACTGATTATTCGCTTCTTGATGTTTATGCTAATCGTAAGCAATATGAGAGTTCACATGAAATAATGAATATGAACTTTGTTCAATTTGCTACAACATTCAAAGTTGTTAACAATGAACTTACAAAATTGCCAGATAATGTTATACCAAGAATATTTCCAACATATTCTCCTAATCCCAAAGGTCCAAATTTTGGACTTTACTGTAAATACCAACTTTTAAGGTATAAACCCTGGCAAACAACCCAAAACAATGCATGGGGTAACCAACAACCAACAGATGATATTTTAATTAACTCTTGGGAAGAATTCTTGCAAACACCTTATGGACAATCTAATGTCCCAGACTGGTTTGACAAATTACAATCTGTCATTCAAAGTCAAGAACCAGAAGATGAACCTTCTGAAGAACAGGAGAGAACTCGGGAAGAGTGGATGATATTGTCAGATCTTAATACTCCATTTGACAACTCAGAGCAAACACCAGAGTCAACTCACGACTGGCATCTTGACAAAGCCAATTATCTAGAACAACAAATCCACGAAATGCCAACATGGATAAAAACAAGCAAAGAAGGATACACTAGTGATGAGCAATATGACATTGTTGACATCAACAGTTTTAGTGAAATGCAAAAACTTGCATATGACATTGTTAAATCTCATTTTGATGATACATCGTCTTGGAAAGAACCATTATGTCTTATCATAAATGGTGTTGCAGGTACTGGTAAAAGTTACCTTATTAATGCTATTAGAAACCATTTACAAAGTAAATGTGCAGTTACTGCTACTACAGGTAAAGCAGCATATAATATTAGAGGTGTAACTGTGCACTCTCTATTAAAGTTACCTATAGGATCAAGAGGTAGCAAAGACCTGACAGGACAAAGTTTGTGTAGATTACAAGAGAGTCTTAATAACATTGACTACATCATTATTGATGAATACTCTATGCTTGGCCAAGTTACTTTTGGTTGGATAGACAAACGTTGCAAACAAGCAACTGGTTATAATGACAGAGTGTTTGGAGGTAAATCTTTAATTTTAACTGGTGATCCAGGTCAATTACCACCAGTAGCGGACAAACCTCTCTACCATGCTAAACCATCAAATGCTGTTGGTGAACAAGGTTATCAAGCATATTGTATGTTTGACAAAGTTGTTAAACTCACAATAAATCAACGTGTGCAAGGTATGACACCTGAGCAAGTACATTTCAGAGATTTACTGTTACGACTACGCAAAGGTGAATCAACAATTGATGACTGGAAATTACTTCTGACACGTCAACCATCCAATGTCACTAATTTATCTGATTTTGAAGATTCTACTAGACTCTTTTATAGTAATGAACAAGTTGCTAATTACAACCATGACCAGCTAACTAAACTTCAGCATCCAATCGCTCATATTAATGCCTGCCATTCATCTGCATTGGCCAAAAAGATATCCTCAGATGATATGTCTGGATTAGAACCTGTTGTGTTTCTGGCAAAAGGTGCTAGGGTCATGTTAACCATGAATTTGTGGTCAAGTGTTGGCCTCTGTAATGGGGCTACTGGAACAGTTGTTGATATTATCTATCAGAACAACCACCAACCACCAGACTTACCTATTGCAGTAATAGTAGAATTTGAGAACTATAGAGGTCCTGTTTTTAATGAAAACCAACCACTGTGTATTCCAATATGTCCAATCACTGTCACATCACAGGCAGAAATAGGTTTCCATGAGAGGCAACAGTTACCTCTTAGGCTTGCTTGGGCTCTAACAATACACAAGAGCCAGGGACTCACACTTCCAAAAGCATGGATTGATATTGGCAAATCTGAAAGAACTGCTGGAGTATCATATGTTGCAATTAGCAGGGTAAAATCACTGACATCTTGTGTCATAGAACCTATGACATATGAACGATTAACAAGCTTGAAATCGTCAGCTAATTTGCAATATAGGCTTGAAGAAGAAAACAGGCTGGATAAGTTAGCACAGACTATAAACAGCAGTGCATTACAATAAACAAACCATTGTGTCTGAATAAAGGATGGATTACAAAAATAAATCGCATGATACTGTATATACAGTACTATCTATATACTATCTATAAGAATGTATAACTGTATATATACTTATTTTGCCCTAATTTTAACTTGTTCATAGTAATATATAAACCAATCAATTAACCTACAATCACACTGTATGTTTGAAAATTATCATTGTTGGCAATATATAATGGTAAGTTTTGTTCTTTAAACTATTTGTATGCCTCCCTCCCCCTTCCATACATATTAGGTTAAATCTTCACATATTAATTATTCCTTTTTTGTTATATAGTTTTGGAATTCAGAACTAAATTTAAATTCATCATTAGTTTGTGTGGTTCCATCTGAACAGCTGGATTATACAAAAATGGCTGCAACAAAATATTATGGACATATTACATCATCACTAATGGTGCGAATTCTTTCACAGGGTTATGATAAGATACCATCATATTGGTTCGACTGAATGTTCATGAATTTTTTGACAACTCATTGGTTATGAACATTGATGAAAACCAAATGTTACTGTACATAAACATGAGACATTTACAGAATTGGAAAGAAAGACTGCTGTCATACATTTGTTTAGCAGATGGGAAATGCAATATTATCAATATCTGGAGAACCAACATAAGAACTAATTGGATCACAAAGACATTAAAACAGATTGTTTTAAAACTTTTTATATTTCACTCAATATCCTGTTGATACCTTTGAAGTAAAGAATGATTTTACTACATTTAGATCTCCTCATTGGTACCATGAATTGTGTTCATTGGATACGTTGCTTTGAACCCTAGAAGTATTTCTTATTTAAAATGTACAATGAATACCATGTATAATCACATCGTGTATGCGTGACGTTTTTCCAACGAAATAAAATTAACATACAGTGTGTCATTAGCATATTGTCAACAACTTTTAGATTAATACATCAATAGACGTAGTTTGTGCACGAAGGCAGCACTTCACTTGCGATAGTAACTTCTAGTATTACACCTTCATATAACCCTAAGCTTGTACCAACCTATTTAAGATGTATTAACAGATCTGTTTATGAATATATTACATTCATGTCCATGTTTGTTTATTAATATTGAATAAATGTATATAATTAATTACTCAGATCAATATTTAGTAACATATTAGGCTATACCGATGAAACGATGCATATTTAATAATGGACGACTTGCGCTTTAGACTAATTTTTGATGGAAGTAACTAGAGGAAAATAAATCACCCCAGCTAGAAAGATCTTACTTAAATTAGTAAAACTGCCAAGTTTAGCTGCGAAATTTTGTAAAATACGGAAAATATAGCCATGCGAAGTTGGCAAATTTTGTATACTTTTGTATCATGTGGGGAAATGTGTAACTAATTTAGTTACAAACTTCCGGTCGTAATACAAAAGTATACAAAAATCGACAACTTCGCATGGCTATATTTTCCGTATTTTACAACAATTCGCAGTCAAACTTGGCGGTTTTACTTATTTTAGTAAGCTCTTTCAGAAAATATCCTTTTTATCGCCGAGGTAAGAAATTAGTCTAAAGCACAAGTCGTCCATTGTAAAGTATATGAACTATATCACAAGCTTATAATACAAATGTGAGTACAATACTTACGAGTAAAAAATATGCCTTTATTGACTTTTAACTTTCATGAAGCCCTATTTAAAACATCCACCAACCAAGCAGATCGGCATTTTCAAAACAAAAATGAGCAGAAAATTTACTTCCTTTTTTAACACGAAGATATACAACCAAAACTGCAGAGGGCATAGCTATAAGCTCTTCAAATATCCTGGAGATGCTCACATCAACAGCATATTAAATGTATACATAGGTATAAACTATAAACAACAATTCTTCAGTTGAAATTTTTATTACTCTCTCATGGATAACTCGGACAATTGACAAACCAGAATATTTCACAACACGTAAATATAATGTACATAAACTTCACAAAGATGTAAGCATTTTAGATTGATATTGGGTACAATAATTTATTGGTTTACGAGTGCTGTCATTGTTTATGTTTTTTACACTAAGATGTGATCAAACCACTGGATAAAACATTGTATACGAGTATTAATGCAGTAAGGAAAACAACTTCCATCTTGAAAAGCATTCCTCAAATATCAGAAGTAATACCTACCTTTCTTAGGAATTTAAATCATCAAAAGATACTCACTAAAAACTTTTTTAAAAATCTAAGCCTGCCCACAAACCAAAACAGATCAATCTGCAGTAATTTTTATCGACACGAGGACCTATATGACGTGAGCAACGGTGGGGACAACATTTAGGCCTCGAGCAGTCAGTCCATCTAATATAGGTCAGTGATAACAATAGAGAACTAAATGGAATGCTATTATGAAACAAAACAAAGCTCTTTGAATCAGAGGAATAAAATTGCTTTATGACTCGTTCTGTTTTGAAAAAATGAACAAAAGGTAATATAACTCCCAGTTGATATTTGACGATTTGACACACTTTGCAATTTGATTCGCTCCACCAAAAGTTCTACAGACCTTGCATCAGTAGTATCGATTGACCTAGAATTAGAAATCGTTTTAACGAAACTGACAAACTCTGAATAAGACTTTAATTCAGTTCAAAGCTTGACGTCAACTACAATGCAAATATGATTATGCTATAAATACATGCAATCAGCGTAATTAGCGTAAACACAACCGTACTGTACCGATTTATCCCTCCATTAATCACTACATGGTACAAAGACCTTGATAAATATAGTTTACACAGACGCAACATTAAAGATTCGAAATGTTCGCAAAGTTCAAAGTGTTCGCAATGCTGCCAGTGTTCGCAATGTTGACTGGGCTCTTAGTTTGCTTGCATACTAAATACTTAAGCAAGTTTTGCAATCGCACTTACATGGCTCCCCAAAATTGAAACAATAACAATTTAACATATTTGGCTCTTCGATGGGGAATCTTCACTTTCAGTTATCTTCACTTTCAGTTATCTTCACTTTCAGATATCTTCAATTTCTTCGGTCTTCATCAACACTATCAGCTTTTGTACGTGTTGTTCCAAATCCAAAACCGGCCGAATTCTCTCACCCTTCTCATTCAATAGCCTATCACTTACAATGATCCAGACTGTCTCCATAAGCGTACATTTCTTCTACGCGTCCCTTTTTCCACTAATTGCGTGCCGTCAATTCTTCCTTTAACAATACTAAATCTACCTTTTGCCCGTTTCTGTGAGGTTTATTCCATTTCTGTCTTTCTTGAGGCGACAACAGGAATCCCTTCCACCACCTCTCCCAGAACTGATTGGCAAGGTATTGCACATGTTTCCATCTCTTGACTAATTAAATGTCTGCCCATTGAAATTCTTCTGGTGGGGCCATCAATACTCTTGAGTTAGTCCCATCGACAATGATCACCATTGCTTCAGCTTCACAGATCAGGGTTCTTAATGATTCCTCATTTAGTTGTGTTCCATGCTGTTCCAGCAGGCCATCAAGAGCATTGCGTACTGTACCAATCATGCGCTCCCAGACTCCTCCTGCATGACTGGCCTTCAGTGCATTCAGCTTGAAATCAAACCAGTTGCTTTAACAGAAACTGTTATACTTTGTCAGTTTTCTAAGGCTTCTGTTTTCTTAAGGCGACTAAGTTGGGGCCTTGGTCAGAGCTAAGCTGGCGGATTGGGCCTGGTCTGGCCAGGAAAAAACGACTCCATAACGCTTCAGCTCCTTCCTTCCTTTATATGCCTAGGACCGAAATAATCCGACCATCAGATTCTTCAGCCGTAACCTCAGGCAATTTGCAACAGCTCGTTTCGCACAATGCCAACAAGAAAAGTAATCAACACAATTACAACTGGCCATTGGTGGGAATTTTGCGCCGATAGTTTGGGTCACAAAGGACTTTACCTTCTTCACTTCTGGATTGTCAGAGGTGGGATTGGAATCCTTTTGTTCCGCTGGTCGGAAGCCCGGTTGCCACAGGAATTTGGGGCCATTAAGCCATCGGGAAGTTTCGTTAAGTTGCTGCAAGGATAGACCTCTCGATGTGTGGCTGGCTGGGTTCTCCTTTGTATCTACGTAATTCCATTGGTCGGCAGAGGTGGTATCTCGAATCTGCTGCACTCTGTTTGCGACGAACACTTGAAAACGACGGGCGTCATTGGTGATATACCCCAGAGCTACTTAACTGTCTGTCCAAAACACATCCACAACATTATCGTAGTCAAGCTTGTCATGCAACATACAGCTCACCTTCATGGACACCAAAGCAGCTGTCAATTCCAGCCGGGGAATTGTGATTGGTTTCATTGTGTGACCCGAGATTTTTCCATCACGAAAGCGCAGTGTACTTAATCCTCATCGTTCACTAAGCGCAAATATGAACACAGCCATTTGTACTTCATCAGAGAAATGGTGCATCTCAATTGTCTTGGCCTCCTCGAAACCATTTGGCACTAAGCATCTTCATACTTTCTCCCGGCACAGATCCTGGAGGCTTCGATTACCCTTTAACAACAAAGGCGCAACAAAGCCAAGCAGGTCGTATATCAAGCTTACCGTTGACAATATGACGGGATGTGTCAGGGGTCGATCTTGTAACGTTATTCGGAGTTGAAATGAGTCTGATTCAATGCACCAATGGTTTCCCAAAGTTCTTTCAACAGGAAGGCGATCGTCAGTAGGATTGAGGATTTTGAGACTCGTTGCTCGATCTTCAGGTGCTATGGTTTCGAGGACTTCTTTTGAATTCTAGATGAAGTTGTGCAAGTGAAGGCCGCCTCAAGGTAACAATTGTGGATCAAAGAAATTGCTTCTGTCTCTGGGGGTGGTGTACACCCCATGATAGGGAATATACCACACTGTTTTTGCTTCGTCTGGGCCTTCCTTAGCAGGAACTCTCTCAGCATGTCCCTTGTCGATCTGCTCATTCATGAAGTTGTTGTAATGCTGCCGGTATTGTGCATCTCTTTCTAG